TTTTTTTTTGGTTTTTCTCCGGTACCGGGAACCGAACTCATGACCTTGCACTTGCCAGGCAGGCGCTTTTGCCGCTGAGCTAAGTCCCCAGCCCCTCGCTGAGATTATTCATGACACCACCAAAAAGCTAGGGCAGGCTTGCTGGGATAAATCAACATGGATCAGGATGCTGGCTCCACACACTGTTTACAGCAGAGACAAACCTGGAAGTGACTTTTTTTTCCTGTCTCTCTCATTTTTGAGTGAGGGGTAATAAGGGTTGAACCTTCACCCATTCAGATTTTGAGTCCTGTTCCTCTATGGTTTTTAAATACACAGAGTAATGATGGTATATGGCAGAGCTGTCATCTACATTTCCTATATTTGGTGGTTAAAATATTTGTGAAATGATAGTGATGGTAGATTTTTTCTCTTGATACTCTTCCCAACTTAGGAAAAATTTAAAACCTTCAACCTACACCAGTGTTCTGAATGTATATGTGTGTGCCATCTGTCTGCATATCTGTCTTTTTAGTGAAAATCTGGGAAGCTGTATGGGAGCTGACAACCCCTGTACCATACTTTCCAGGATACCTTGGCTCTGATAGTCTTTGGTTTCAGTTATTAGTCTGATAACTATTTTTCTGTGTTTAAATCCCTAGTAGATTTGTAAGGAAGAGTGATATTAATAAAGCTCCTTATTTTATATTATAATGTAAACTAATAGGTTAAAAACTAGTATTACATTAATTTTCAAATTTAGAAAATCTTATTTTAAAAATTAGTTTGGTTAAAAATATGAATATACTGTAAACTTACTGGTTCATTGTTGTTTATAGGTTTGCCTAAAAACGACATGGTAATGAATCTTAAGCAATCAGTGACAGATTTTAAGCGAGAGCTGCCCATCATCATAGCACTGGGAAACCCCTGTCTCAAACCAAGGCACTGGGAGGCGCTGCAGGAGATCATGGGAAAGACAGTTTCCCTTGACATAAACTGTACAGTGGACAGTCTTCTAGCCCTCAAGGTACATAAACATAGTGTGGAAGAACAGACTGAAATTGTAGAGGGGCCATTTTAAGTAGGCAAGTAAACTGACTAAGAATAGGAATCAGAAAATTGTATGGGGAGTATCTGGGAAAGTAAGAGCACATTAGTAGTTAACAGGTGGTAGGAGGTTGTGTTTAATTAGAGGTAGAACACAGACTATTATGCAGTTACTATCTAGGTGGTTAGAAAATAGTTACACTAAAAAATAAAAAAAAAATTAAAATAAGAATAAAAATAAAATAGTAATACTAGTTTCATATGTGACAAATTTCATTATTTAACAGTGCTACTACTTATAGAGGCAACATTTCATAGAAATGGAAAAATCAAAATTATTGGGTCGCATTCTAAATAAAGTGAAAAAAATTTTAAGAGCATGTTAAGATAGCCCTGCCAACAACTTGGTATTATATTTAAAATGCCTTCTTAGCATCAATCTGATTTGCCACAAAATTTATGTTATATAATTTTTCTAGTGTTTTTCATGGTTAAAAGTTTTCTATTTTCCTGCCTGAGAATTCATTTATGTGTAATGTTTTGACCATATTTAATTTAATCAAAAGATATCTAGTGCATATAATTCTGTTGTAATGAAGAGCATGGGAAATATTTTTAAAGAATTTAAAAAGAATAATTTTCAAAGACAACTTTAGTTGAGGGTTTAGGTCAGGTTATTTTATATTTCCCCTAATCTCAACCTCTCTCCTGAACTCTGGACTCATATCCAATTTCCTGTTCAGCATTTCCACTTACATGTCTGAGATATCTCACAATTAACATGTCAAAAGAGCTTACTTTTCAGCCTCCTTCTCCCCAGTTCTACTCTTTTGCTTCCCCCTTTCAGTTAATGGTGTCTCCATTCTTCCATTCTTGTTTATGCTGAAAACTGTGATGTAATTTCTGAATTGTCTCTTACTATTCTACTCTTTATCCTAGGTAAATCTTTCATATGTTCCTGGACTGTTAGCAGAGTCTCCTATCTGGTCTGTGTGCCGGAGTGGAACTCAGCAGACAATCTAGATAATTTCAGAATATAAGGATTAATGCCAACAGTGAGTTTATTCAAATTAGCATTCCATCTGAAAAAAATAAACAAGGTCTTCAGCTCTAAAGTACTATAGCGAGGAGCTTGAGGCACATACCTTCCTCTTGAAGTTAGTTATAGCAATGGGCAGAGGAGATGAAGAAGCAATCTCCTGGTAATCTTGAGTGAGCTCTAAGAGGTCCTGGATGGTGCTGGTCATCTTGTAGAAATATGAGAACTTATCCAGTATAGTGTATGTGCCTAGATGGACAGGATTTGGACCACAAACTCACCCTTTAATCACTAAACTTACATTTTTGGGGGTTGATCCAGAGAACATGGCCAAGCTGCAAGACTTTCCATGATATGCTCAAATGCTGTGAAAAATGATTTATACATTTATTCAGGTAATAAATTATTGTGTCTTACCATTATATAATAACCATTTTGTCCACAGTGTTGTACAGGTTCTGAAACCCTATCATATGGACAGCAAGTCATTGGGTAAATAAGAGGCAGTAGCCAGTGGTGTGTGTAAATGAACTTCATCACTGTGTGGTTGATCATCTGCACTTTAGAAATCTTTGGTATTTATAACAGGAGTAGATAATTCATTGTAGGCATTAAGATGCATCTGAAACCACTCAGATCTTCCAATAATTGGAAGGTACGACTACTTGTCAATCAGATTGCAAAGTTTGACTGTAAAGACCTGAGAGAGCTAGACTCATTTGGCTGAACTTTTGCTTTGCACATTACCAGTGTCTGGATTTCTGGATTTCATTTTTAATAACCTCAGAGTGCTAGCATTAGGCACAAAGTTCTTTGTTCAGCATCAAGCTTTTGGAGAGTCCCATGGCTTTTCAAAGCTGTTGCTTATGGCCATAAGCAATGAGCTGAATGTGCCATTCTTAGCTGACAGTGGCAGATGGATACTCAAGAGTGATGAAAACTAGTCATATGGTTCATAGACCCCCACCTAGCTGCATTACCACAGCACAGAGATTAGGCATCATATTTAGCCCCATAGAGGTAACACAGGATTTTAGTGGTGGATTCTTATTCTTAACTAGTGATAAAAACAGTCAGCCCAGCCAGTTAATTCAAAGAGGTAGAGATGAAGACCTGCCTGAATACCTGTACTATGGTGAGTGAACCTGAAAATTTTATACCAGTGACTCATCACTTATGCTGTGGGGACTAACAGTGCACAAAGGAAGAAGGGCTATGTGTGCTCTACTGGTGTGTTCTAAGGGACACTTATCCTAAGGGAGATGTAGCAGAGAAAGGAAAGCCACAGAAGTCTGGGTCTATCAGAGCTTCATTCTCTTAGATGAATATACTCCAAGAGTTATGAGATAAGAAGCATGTCACAAAATAATTTTGTATCAGTGCAGAGGAAAGCATGCTAAAAGAAATAATACCATTTGCACATATATAGAAGGTATATATTCTTCTTGACTAGAATAAAAGGAAAATTACAAATTTTTATTAAGTGTGAAGAATGTGAAATAGGATGATTAAAAGCTGAGGCTTATGTCACAAAAGTTGGCCATGGAGTCTCAGGTCAGGATATAAACCTACAGAGAATCAGATTTCCAGGTCCTCTGGTATACTTTCTAAAACACGCATTTAAATCTTCCATTTTAAGTATTTCAGGAGTTATTTGTTCCACTGGCTATCAAAGAATAATTTGCTCACTTTAGATGTTTCAGTATGAACATGAAATAAATGAAGTATCAACTTCAGCAAGTAATGAAGCTGCTCTTGAAAAAATGCTGTTTAAGATTATCGATCTTTGGAACACGACGCCTTTACATCTGGTCCTTCATCATACAGAGATGTACTCTGTCCTAATAATTTCATCCGTAGATGATGTATTAGCTCAGTTAGAAGAGTCTCAAGTCATGCTTGCAACAATTAAAGTATCTTCTTATCTTGGGCCCTTTAAGGTAAATACTATGGCAAAGGAAAATTGTTTTAATTTTCTACAGTTTGTCACATTAACATTTTACATTCTACAATTTTACTTTTGCTTTTGAATTATAAAAATCTTTTATGTTCTTATATAGAAGTGAGATTGAATATTTAATAGTTTGAATACTAAACATTTTATGAGAATATTAATTGTTCATGGGGAAATGTCAGAAAGTTTAATTTGGACAGAGAAGATAAATTTACATCCTATAAAAGCATGCCTCACACAATCCTGGTAAATTTAGATTATATAAAAATATGACCCCACAAAGCCTGACTATTCCAGCAGTGTTGAGTGTGCCCTGGTGATTTCCCAGTGTGCAGCCCTCCACCCAGTGGCAGATGTAAAGATCATTTTAAACTTTAGGAAACTCAGCAAGATATGTGGTAGTATGCAGATGTTCAATAGCAAATTAATATAACCAATCATATGCAAGTATATAAATATATTGACAGTGATATATGAAGGGTTACAGACAAGTATGTACTCAACAAAAATTCGTATTATTTACATACATAAAAACACCAGGAAAACGTGGATCATAGAGAAAAGAATCTCGTAAGTTACAATAAAGAGATAACCAACAAGATTATGAATAGCAGGAAAACAGCAAAAAGGCAAATAAAACCAGACACACAAAAACGAAAAATTTTAAATGAATATATAGAAAATATAATCCAAATTTTTAAAATTTAGAAATAAGCAACAAGGAGAGAATCATATCTTAAACGTTGTCACCATTTGCTAGAGCCCTATGAAAATGAATATTTAGAACATTAAATACTTTATTTAAAAAATGAATTTAGTAATAAATTAAGCACATTCAAGGACTAATAAATTAAGCACATTCAAGTAATAAATTAAGCACAATTAAGCATTCAAGAGAATAGATCTCACACACACACACACACACACACACACACACACACACACACAAGACTTCTGCTTTCAAGCAAGATGGAATATAGGGGACACATTCTCCATCTTGCCCAAGCACCCAAAGCAAACCAGATAAAATATATGAAACAGTGGTTTTGAGAACACTGCACACAAAGGAACAAAGTACAAGGATGTCTGAGATATGAGAAAGAAACAAAGTAAATCCTGTGGTTGCACCAACCTATGGCATTCATTTTGAGACTTCACCAGGGGGAGAAGCCTGGCAGGTTCCCTAGCATGAGATGCTACTGAGAGTCTGTAGAATCAAATGAAACTAGCGCTTGCAAGACTAAGCATCAGAGAGGAGAATGGTGCAGAGAGACTCAAAAGGTCTGTGTACAGTCTCCACTCAAGTGCCCCAAAGGCACATGGATATGAGGAGACCACTAGAGGCCAGGGAAGTAGCCACTTAAAGGGTTTAGAGGGACTAATGAGATCAGTGCCTATGTCTACCACCCACAGTGAAGAACCTCGTGATTCATCAGCATTAGCTGGATGGCTCCAGTTTTGCCTCAGAACACAAAATAATTAGCCCTCAACTAAATTCTGCTCACTATCAAATCTTAAAAGCAAACCCCAGAATAATGAAACTATTTCTCAGTAATTTAATGGTACCCAGAAAAGAGCTTCAGACTATTTATAGGAATATAACATTATTGAGTACCAATACGGTAAAATTCATAATGTCTAGGACCCAACCAAAGATAATCAGATATGCAAACAGAAACAAAAATAAAGACTATAATGGGGGGCTGGGGATTTAGCTCAGCGGCAAAAGCGCCTGCCTGGCAAGCGCAAGGTCGTGAGTTCGGTTCCCGGTACCGGAGAAAAACCAAAAAA